GGAAATGTAAAGGTAGACGTTTTATAGCAAGGAGGGGGAGTGATTAACTTTTCAGTCTAGGAACGGAGGAGGTCCCTAGGACCATCAAGGGAGAAGAGCAGAGAGCGGGACCCTACCCAGAGAAGCAGTGATGCCTGAAATGGAGCCGGAGATGATGACGTGGAGCGATGGAGCAGCTGGAGACTTTAGATCCAGAGAGGGAGAGCGACTGTGAGCTGAAGATCTGGGGGGTATGGGGAGGGGGGGGGCGGAGGATTGCATGGAGGGGATTATAACCATGGCAATGAGAGGACATACAATAGAATGAATGTAAAACTAATGTTCTCCCATGTAAACTATCACACAATTCACAATAAAACATTTAAGAAAAAAAAAAAAATCTTTATGGGAGCAGAATGCCTCATCTTTCTCCCAAGGTAGTCTCAAACTGCTGATGGTGAGATTAGCCGCCTGACTCAACCAGTGCGCTACCAGAGCTCCTTGTGAGTAGCTGGGAACAGGGCCATGTCCGAGTTCTGCTGTTTGCTGCCTGCCTGACTACCTTTGCCAAGTTGCATGGTCCTGTGATCTTCGTTTCTTCCTTAGTCCAGTGGAGAGACGGCCTTTCAGGGTAATTTTGGGGTGGGGAAACTCCACAAGCTCACATACTGAGGTCAAGGGGCAGATGCTTGTGAGGATTTGAGGTAATCTCTGCGTGGTGGGCCTGAGGGAGGATTGTTCATCACTACTACTTGCTTTTGCGATAATGGCACTGGATTGCTGTTACGTGTCGTCAAGTCAGTTCCAACCCATAGTGACCCTGTATAGGGTTTCCAAGGAGTGGCTGGTGAGCTTGAACCGCCGATCTTGAGGTTCAAACTGACTTTGCAGTCCAGCGCATTAACCCACAGGGCTACACCAGGACTCCTGCAATGGATTACCTAAGTAAAAATCTTCGAATAAAAATCACACACAGTGTTTGTTTGGTACCATGCCTGGGTGAGGTGGGTAAGACCAGGACAGGAGTATTTGCTTGGATGCAGGTGTTGAGGGCCAGCCCACCCTCCAGGCTGAGTAGGGAGTCTCCAGAGGCCTCTCTCCATCCTGGCTCCTCCCACCCCCACTTGTGGGGGAGGTACTACCTCAGATTCCTGGAGGGAATGGTTCCTCCTTGGAGTCTGTGTGGGGCCCTGGCACAGAAGGCCCTGTGCCCTCCCAACCCCTCCCTGCCCACCCCACGGCCTGTGGGAGTCTTGCAGGGCCTTCTCCAGGAGCCCTTCCCCGAATCCTTGACTTCTGCCCCAGTGCCCCAGTCCCTTGGAGGGGGAGGGGAAGCAGGCGCCCCAGGAGCTGTTGATTTATGACCTTGCCACCCCCCCACACACACATACATCCTGCTGCTGGAAAGCTAGTGAGGAGGCCGGTGGGGCTGTTTGGCCAGGCAGTGAGGTGGCCACAGGCCCCTGACTATTTTCTGTGCCCGTCCCAGAAACCTCCAGGGCTTTCCTGGGCTGTGCTTCAGTTCTTTGAACTTGTTGTGGGCCTGGAGAAGTAGCCTCCTGGGAAGTGGGAAGCTCCCAGAACTGGACTGACCCCACCTGGCAGTCCACAAATCCCCCCCAAGTAGTGGTCTTTGTGGATTCCTCGGTCAGCTGCTGGGGGTGGTGGCTCTGAGGGCTGGCTGGGGTGATGGACACTGACCTCGCTGGTCCTATTCATTCACCTGTCAATTACAAGAAGAAAGCAGAGTGGGGTGACCCCTCCCAGTGTGGTGTGGCTTGCCAGCCTGGTGTAAACAGCTCCCTGGCTCTCTCTAGCCCCAAGGGAGCCCCAGCCTTAAGCCACTGGGGGTCCTTGCATATGCAGATCCTAGTCTGATTCATTTTGCTACCTTTCCAGAAGGCTGAGTCTTTGGGGCACCCTTCAGGCCCCAGTTTAGGTATCTTCTTCTCCAGCAGTACCCACCACCATCCGCAGTTGTCCCAGGACCCTTTGGACCCCTCTGGATCCAGTGCCCAATGCCCTCCACAGTCTTGTCCCCATTGCCCCATTCCAGAGTGTGTACCTCCAGGGCAGGGACGGGACTGTCCCTTCCTTTTAGGATCCAGCACAGAATGGTGGAGCTAATGAGACTGTGGGACCCTGAGCAAAGAGACTAAAGCATTTCCGGGGTGGGCCGGGCCCCAGTGTTCCCAGCCCACAGTGCCTGTGGCCGGAGGGAGGCAAAACTCCTAGAGCAGGAAGCTGGAGCTCAGACGTTCCTCCCCTCCCCCAAGGCTAATCCAGAAATAGTTTTCCCTCCTCGGTCAGGGAATGCATCCTATGGTGGGTGGACATTTGTAGGCCCTGATCTGGTTTCTTTATCGGGAGTAGATTTTGTCTCCTGATGGCATCCCACGTGGGCCTCTGGCAAACAGGGTGCTCTGAATGCACTCTGTCAGAGCCTAGGGGATTTGAGACTGGCAGGACTGGAGCTGGTGGGGGTGGGGCAAGTCAGCTGGGGAGTCTGGGGTTTGGCAGGACCAGAGCGGGATCCCCCTGACTACAGTGGGAGGCCCATCACCCCTGACCCGCTTGGGTTCTTGGCAGCTGTGGCTGATTGGAGTGGGCCCTGCCTAGAGGAGAGACCCCCACACGCTCCTGAATGGGAACAGGCCAGGTGTACAGCTGACCTCTCTCCAGCCCCCATGTGGGCTTGGATCTGGAGGCCCAGCGCTGGGCAGCCTTTGCATTCCATGCTCCTCCTGACTCTGAAGAGAGAAGCTTGTGAAGTTTCCCTTTCTGTTTAGCTAGAGTTTTATGGTTTTTCCAAAAACAGGTTAACAATTAAGCTAATTAACCCCAGGGCCTTCCAGCCCTCCTTGTCCCTATAAAGCCAGGCTAAATGGCTTCCACCCCCAGCTTCTCTGCTGGCATTATAAGGCAGCAGGTTGCCAGGAGCCAGCGTTAGAGTATTAACCAGCCACTGGACAGGACAGGCCTCCAGGTACTTCAGGACTCCTCACCATAGGGCCAGGGGACACTGGAAGGCCTGTGTGCTTGATGGTGGAACCGGGCTGGCTCTGGAGAAAGAGCCCCGTGGCTGCCTGTATTCAATGAAGATGGGGACAGGGTGGCTGGCCGCTCTGCTACCGGGGACGGAGGATCATGTGTTTGCCCAGGCCCTGATGCTCAACTGCTCCTCCGGTTCCTTGGTTTAGGTCTCCGAGGGGCCTGCAGACAAAGCAAGATGAGGCGGTTTCTGCGGTCGGGTCCTGACCCAGAGCGGGAGAGACTGAAGCGGGACCTCTTCCAGTTCAACAAGGTAAGGGGGACTCGGAGAGGGCCCAGGCTTCAGAGGGAAGTGGAGGTGAGGTGAGTCTGGAGGTTTCGGGGGTCTGACCCGGTTTTCTCTACCCAGGTTAGCACAGGGTGAAATGCCTTTTGGTTTTGGGACTAGGGGCTGGTTTTCTGGGAAAGGGACTCCTAGAACCTTGCTTGGTGGTGTGTGGCCTCTACAACTCCCCCTGCCTCTTTGAGCCTCAGTTTCCCCACCTGTAAATGGGGCACAGGCTTTGCTGCCTACCTTGTCACAGGAGAGTTCATGAGGTGGAAGATGAAAGGATATTGAAGCCTACGAGGTATAATGATGTACCTTCATGTTGGTCCCCCAGGCCATGGGCCATGACTGGTCCCTCCCTCCTTGAGTTGTCCAGGATGGCTAAATTCACGACATCCAGTGGTAGCCTGGGTAGGTGGGAGAAGTGCCAGGGAGAATTTGCAGGAAGGGTCATTGGACTACTTAAGCCAATGCCCCCTAAGCCAGAGTGACCCCCTCACCCGAGATCACAGGGAGGGTCCCCGATGGGAGGCCAGCTCGGGCCTGCAAACCTAGCAATCTGGAGCTGTTTCGGGTAATAAAAGAGGTTGGCTTACCTTCGCCTCTACTTTGATCTAGGTCCTTAGCTTCCTTGACCAGCTTCCTTCTGTGGCTGTCTTCTGCTTCCCTGCCCGGAAGTGGGTGTGCAGAAGGACAGCGCCTTTCTGTTCTTCCCTGGGGATCTGGGGCCCCTCCAGGACATGCTGATGGCAGGTGATCTGACTCTCAGTCGGGACCTAGGTTTGGGTCCATACAGTGAGTGTCATTTCAACTCGAAATGTGTGACTCCTTGTGGAATGTGTGCACTTCACCTTGGTGGCAATTTTTGTTGCTTTGATTATTGGAGAAGTCAGATGGTCCAGGTTCAAATCCAGCTTTGCCACTTAGACCCTAGGTGACAATGCCATCGGCTTGGAGCTGGGGATCTGGGAATGTGAACTACTTCTTTGCCTGGGATCCTCTTGGTTTTCTAGATCTCATCAGGAGAGCCCTCAGGAGCTTGGTGGATGTGGGTACTCAGGATGGGCCCCACATCACCTGCCCTGACATTTCCTCTGGTATCCTGACCAGATGTGGCAGGTGTGAATTTGTCTGTGGGACTATTTGCCTCTGGAATTAGAGCTCACCTCACTCAAGGAAGTATTGTTAAGTGTCCTCACATCGTTTCCAACCTATAACGACCCTGTGTAGGTTTTCCGAGCTGCGACTGGTGAGCTTGAACCACTGACCTTGCGGTTTAAACCGATCTTACGGTCCAGTGCAGTAGCCTGCAGCACTGTACCAGGACTCCATTGGACATGGGCTTTGGGGACTTGGGGGTTGGGGGGGCAGTGAGTATCCTGGGGCACTCCCACTCCTGAGCGTCTTGGGTGGGTGTGTTTGTGGTGGGTGGAGCCTGGGTGATCTGTGTCATGTACCTCCTTTACCTCTGGAGACACTGAAATTTCTGAAGAGGTGGCTAATTCAGTGAAAACTGTGTGGACAGGCTCAGCAAAGAAGGCTGACCCCTGCCTCAGGTTCTCTCCCTGGGCCAGGTGAAGTTGAGATGGAACCAGTGTGGAAGACACTCCCTAGCCCTGCTGGTAGTCTCCAGCTGGGCCTGGTTGAGTGGGGGGGGGGGGGGGGCAGCATCCTGGGATTCCTTTCTCCTGATCTACCTCCCTCTTCCATTCTTGTACACCTACTGTGTTTACAGCCCAGGGCTGGGGCTGGGTCCTGTGGAATCTCAGATGCCTGTGATAAATCCTTTGTCCTCCAGCAAATCTCAGTCTAGAGGTCTGGAGGGGAAGGGAGCCTCTGAAATGCCTTGATCTGGGAGTGGGAAGCTGGAAGGGAGGTTCTGAGGGGAAAGGGAAGGTGGGTCTGCAGGGCTTGAGACCTAAGCCTGGGTATTTGATATCCTTGGTGGTCTGCCCCCACACTGTCCCCTCCTATCCCCAGGCTTGTGGGGCAGGACGGTGGCCTGGCAGAGGGGAACCCAGGAGTCCTAACAAGGACACCGTAGACTTGGCTAGCTGTGAGCAGGGGAGTCACAGCTAAGTGCTGTCAAGTCGACTCCGACCCATAGCGACCCAGTACGGGGTTTCCGAGGCTGTAAATCTTTACGGGAGCAGAAAGCCTCTTCTTTCTCTGTGGAGTGGCTGGTAGTTTTGAACTGCTGACCTTAAGGTTCACATCCTGATTCGTAACCACTATGCTACCAGAGCTCCTTAGAATCCTTCAATATTGTAAGCAGGGGAGTAAGGTCTCACTTATCCCATAAGTTAGTTCTAGGGATTTTATGTTACTGAGTTATGAGTTCTACATAGATTCTGGACATTAAGCCCTTATCAGGTGATATAATTGACAAATACCTTTTCCCATTCTATGTATTTTTATTTTCATTCTTTTCATTTCACTGTCTTTTCATTTTCTTGATAAACCACCCTTGGATACACACAAATTCTCATTGGTTTTGGATGAGCTTATCTATTTTTTTTTCTTTTGTTGCTTGTGCTTTGGTGTTTGTTTGTATTTTTTTAAAAAAGCCAAACCCAAAGTTGTGAAGATTTGCCCGTATGTTTTCTTGTAAGAATTTTATGTTGTTGTTGTTAAGTGTTCCAACTCATAGCAACCCTGTGTAGGGTTTCCAAGAAGCAGCTGATGATCTTGAACTGCCAACCTTGTGGTTCAAACTGACCTTGCAGTCTAGAGCATTAGCCTGCAGTGCCGCACCAGGATTCCTAAAGTTTTATAGTTTAGCTCTTAAATACGTTGGAGCATTAAGAAAATTTGGAAAATATGGAATTAAACAATGTAATTTTTCCACGTATTTTCAGAAGCCTTGTCCTATGGTTTTGTGTCTGTTTTGCAATTGTTTTGCATATGGTATGAAGTAAGGGTCTTGATTGTATCCTTTTGCATGTGGGGTATAGTTGTACAGGCCACTGGATGGTCTTGGTACCCTTGTCACACATCACTAGACCATAGATGTGAGGGTTTACTCCTGGGCTCTTGGTTTTCATTATTGGAGCTTTGTAGGAAGTTTTGAGATTAGGGAATCTAATTTTTGCCCCATTAACAAAGCAGGTAAAATTAAGTCCTTGAAATTTGCAGTGGCTGGATGGAGCCCAGAGCAAAGGAGACCAGGAGGTGACGAAGTTGGAACCCCACGGAGGGGATGAAGTTGTTGTTGTTATGTGCCATGGAGTTGGTTCCGACTCATAGTGACCACCCTGTACAGGGTTTCTGAGGCTGTAAATCTTTACGGAAGCAGAAAGCCTCATCTTTCTCCCACGGAACAGCTGGTAGTTTTGAACTGCTGACCTTGAGGTTCACAGCCCGATTTGTAACCACTACGCTACCAGAGCAGGATCTTAGCCTCTTGGGATGGACCCTTCAATGCCATGGGGGCTGTCCAGTGTATAACAGAGCATTTAGAGACATCTACGCTCACTACCACCCCCGTAATAACATTGCCAGGTATCCCCTGAGGAGGCAGAGTCACCCCTGGTTGGAGACCACTGGATTAGAGTCGATTTGGGGCCTGAGGTGGGTGAGACGTGGCGATGGGTGCAGCACTAGAAGCAGAGAGAGCAAGAGAGGGACTGGAGGAGGAAGATGCCCATGCAGGATAAGCGGAGGGGCTCCTTTGTGGGTGGGTGCTGCTGCTAAAGACAGAGCTGGGGAACCTGGAGGAATGAGGAACAGGGTTGAGAGAACACAATAATTTTGTGATTTGGACAGAAGAGGAACAGCCATGGTTTCCATGTAGCGAGAGGTGTTTTTGCCCAGTGGTTAGAAGTGTCAGCATTGGCACCTGACTGCTTGGGTTTGAAGCTTTGCCAATCATCCTCTGGGTGATGTAGGCAGGCTGCTTGCCTCTAAACTGGAGATGGTGATGGTCGCCATGGCAAGGAGTCTGAGTTAGTGCATATTTGTAAGTGACTACAGTATGGAAGCTCTGGTAGCGTAGTGGTTACGAATCGGGCTGCGAACCTTAAGGCCAACAGTTCGAAACTACCAGCGGCTCCACGGGAGAAAGATGAGGCGTTCTGCTCCTGTAAAGATTTACAGCCTCGGAAACCCTGTACAGGGTTGCTATGGGTCGGAACCAACTCCATAGCAACAACAGTATGGAAGAGGAGGCGGGTGGTGCAGTGTTTCGCTTTTAACCAGTAAAGGTCAGCTGTTCAAACCCACCAGCCACTCTAAGGAAGAAAGATGTGAGTCTGCTTCCCTAAACTTACAGCCTCAGAAACACAATGGGGCAGTTCTACCCTGTCCTATGTTGTTGTTAAGTGCCTTGAGTAGGTTCCAACTCATAGTGACCCTATATAGGGTTTCTGAGACCTTGTGGTTTGCAGCCCTGCGGTGCCACACCAGGGCATTTGTATACCTTTGAGGAGTGGCTGGTGAGTTTGAACCAATGGAGTCACACCAGGACTTCACCCTGTCATGTAGGGTCTATGGAGGTTATGTGCAGTGGAGTCAGTTCCAACTCATAGCGACCCTGTACAGTGTTTCCAAGACTGTAAATCTTTACAGAAGTAGAAAGCCTCATCTTTCTCCCGTGGAGCAGCTGGTAGTTTCGAACTGCTGACTTGCAGTTCGCAGCCTGATTTGTAACCAGATAGGGTCTCTGTAATAGGTGGGTCGGTATTGGATCATGAAGCTTGCCTTGATACTGAATTTGGAGACAAGTCTTGAGATTTGCAGGTAAAGGGGTCTCAGCAGACAGTGGGATAGGTAGGACTGGAGCCCTTAGGGTCACTTGGAGTAGATGTCATGCAAAGTGGTTGGCTCATTGTCACCATCACAGACCCAATCCCAAGTAGCTTCAGAAGACATTCAGAACTGGTGGGAACTGGGTCTCTCTTTCTAGCACCTTCTGGCCAAACACCTGTCCACCTACACTCAATGAGAGGCCATCGCCCCCAAGCATGGAGAACCACATGTCCAGTTCC